GAGCCAAGCACCCCCAGACACGAAACCGCGACGCAACACCAGGGAACCCTGTCCAAAGACTGGTCGGTGAAACCTCTGGTCGAGAGACACGTGGCCAGAGGTTCAGCTGGTGCGCGGCGTACCTGACCGCGTAGGGCCACAGAAAATGGGGGGCACAGGCGTGAGTCAGGGAGGTGCGGGCGATCTCCATGACCAGGCCTATGCGGCGCTCAGCAACCCCATTCTGCTGTGGGGACTCTGGAAGCGTCCAGGACTGACGAATGCCCTGCTCGCGACAGAATCCAGCGAGAATGCCGGAGCGAAACTCACCCCCACGGTCGGAGTGGAGACAGCTGACACGACGACCACGAGTGTCCTCGGTGGTGAGCAACCACCTGATCAGCGTAGAAGTCACCTCAGACTTCTTCGCCAGAGGGAACACTGTGGTGTAGCGGGAGAAGTCGTCAACGACCACCAGAAAGTAACGCTCACGCTCAGGGCCTAGACGAGGGGCTGGGCCCCAGACGTCCAAGTGAAGCGTCTCAAAAGGCTCGGTGGCCGGACGAAGGGAGGAGGAGTGAGGGGTGGCGCGCAGCCTACCCTCGACGCAGGGACGACACGGCGGCGCAGGCGAAGGCGGCAGCGACGGCAGGACACGTGGGAGGCCTAGGACAAGACGCTGACTAGACATAGCGCGCAGACGTGGAAGGGACGGGTGCCCCATCCGGTGGTGCCACAGAACGGTGGGGTGGGCAAGCGACCGGCAGGAGCACGACGCAGCGACTGGAACAGACGGAGGAACCTGACACGACACAGACACCTGGGGGGGACGTAGCAACCTGGTGAGACGCGGGGACCCGAACGGGGGGGGGAACCGGGGGCAGTGGCAGTAGGGGGGGCTGCTGGTGCGGCCGCTGGTGCTGCTGCTGCTGCTGCTGCTGCGGCTGCGGCTGCTGCTGCTGCTGCGGCTGCTGCTGCGGCGCACGCGGGCCAGTGTGAAGAGTGTAGAGACCCGAGCCCGGCTCAGCAGTAAAGGTAGCAAGAGGCTGGTAAGAGTCTCCGTCAACACACACCGCAGTCTCTCCAGAAGGCTCAAACCACACACCCACGTGCTGGCTCACGAGGGGTCGCACGCCCACCAAGTTCCGGGAGAACGAGGGGACGTGAAACCCAGTGAGAGACCCGGAGGGAGCAGCAGGACACGGTAAAGTGGTAGTGTGACGTGCAGTGACTGGTCCCGTAGTGGGATCAGCCAACGCTACAGAAACAGGCGCAGGAAGTGGTGTAAGTGTCGTGCTGTCCCGAAAGAAGCAGTGGGAGGCTCCAGAGTCCAGTGTGAACGACAGCGAAGCGTCCTCTGAGGTAGTCGCTGGTCTAGAGTCTACACAAGTACCTACACTAGCAACAGGCAACTCAGCAAGACTAGCACCTAAGCTAACAACACCAGAGTAAACAGAGTCAGAAACACTAGAGTCAACAACAGCATACATAGCATGAGGAGCACTAATCAGATCAACTAACTGCTCAGCAGACATGCCCCACAGAGCGGAGCCGTAGCGCTGAACCAGAGGAAGCCAGTCAGGAGCAGGACCGCCAACCCCGTAGGTCAACCGGACCGTGTCAGTGAGCTGAGCAAAGCACTGACCAGGGGGGTGAAAGCGGCCACAAGGGTGGCCCCGACGAGGACCTGTCTGAACCTGGTAGGGGCAGGGAGGGTAAGCAGCACCGCGCTGGGGCTGACGCAGCCCCGACCCCGGAGCCAGCTGCTGACGCTGCTGCTGCTGAGGCTGCTGGGAGGAAAGGGGCTGCTGCTGCTGCTGAAGGTGCTGCTGACGCTGAGCCTGGTACCACGCCGCTGCTCCACCTAGCGGGGCCGACAGTACAGGAGGCGACTGACGAGCTCGAGGGTCGCTGCCACCAGCAGGTGCAGTGGAGTCACCGGCCGCTGCACGAGGGGTCTCTCCAGACGCTGCACTCCCACCACCGCCAGTCGCAACAGCACCCCCACTACCTCCGCTACCTCCGCCTCCACCTCCACCGGAACCACCTTTCTTGCCCCCCCTGCCGCGGGACCGCGACGCAGTCGTAACAGCAGCCGCAGTCGCGTCAGTAGCGGCAGTGGCAAGAGAGGCAGTGAAGGTGGGTAACTGCGGGACTGTGCACCCGTGGAAGAGTGGGGGGGATACAGTACCAGAGGCGGCAGCTACCGAACGAAGGTTGCTCTCGACATCCTTGAGTGCAGACTCAAGGACCTCGATAGTCAGCTCACTAGGGTGCTTCAGCAGAAGCGCGTCACGAACGGAGGCAAGGCGGTCAGGGAGGCTAGTGGCGATGAAATAGACAGTAATCGCCATGGGGGGAGGAAGCAGTGCAAGCTGTGCCTCAGTGCAAGCAGCGCGGTAACTAGCGTCAAGCGAGCGGAGGTGAGCGATCAAGTCAGCAGAGCGCTCAAACGAGGCAAGATCAGGAAACAGGAACGGGAGGAAAAGACGGCCGAGAGAGACAGTAGCGGGAGTAGAGTAGCGGGCCTTAATCGCAGTGAGGTACGCAGCAGCGGTGCGAACCTGAGTAAAGTGGACCTCCTCGGACTCAGGGAGGAGGCTGCTGAGTGCGATGCAGGCCGCAGCGTCACGCGACGTCCAAGCCGTCCGGTCAGCGCGCTGACGGGCAAAGCGAGCCGTAGCAGCATCGTCAGGAGCAGGGCCTAAAGCTGTAGGCTCGGGGGGCTCGGGGAGGTCACCAGTAGCGTGTGACCAGAGGGTCTCGCCCCCCTGGACCTGACTCTCTAACAGACGACGAGCGCGAAGAAGCCAGACGGAAAAGTCAAGGGGTCTACCGTCGGCGTCGAAACGAAGAACTCGCGGAGTCGCCATAGTGAGAACGAACAGGCGAGTAACAACCGGGGGGGGAAGAGGACTCAGTCGCAGCGGAAGAGTGGGCTAGGACGACGGGCCAAGACGTAGGGTAGGGCAACGGGCCAGGGCCTAGGGTAGGGCGACGGGCCAGGGCCTAGGAAGGGCGACAGGCCAGGGCCTAGGGAGGGCGACGCGACGGGGGAAAGGTCAGGGCGACGCGACGGGGCAGGGCGACGCGACGGGACAGGGCGACGCGACGGGGCAGGGCGGCGCGACGGAGCAGGGCGACGGGACAGGGCAGGGCGACGCGACGGGGTAGGGCGACGCGACGGGACAGGGCGACGGGACGGGACAGGGCGACGGGACAGGGCGACGGGACAGGGCGACGCGACGGGACAGGGCGACGGGACGGGGGGGGGTAACAGGCAGGCGCGACGCGACGGGGGGAACGGGCGCGACGCGACGGGGGGGAACGGGCGCGACGCGACAGGGGGAACGGGCGCGACGCGACGGGGGGAACGGGCGCGACGCGACGGGGGGAACGGGCGCGACGTGACAGGGGGAACGGGCGTGACGCGACGGGGGGGGAACAGGCGTGACGCGACGGGGGAGATGACGCTAGGCTCGGTACTAGGCGCGGTAACTACGAAACTGGTACGAACGAGAGGTAGGATCAGGCTCGGGAGGTACGAACGGAGCACGGAGGAACGGGATCCCACAGGATCCTAACCTAGCTGATACCATGTCAGAATGAGGAATGAGTGTTGCATTGATGTTGGTTGGGGTACATATGACAAACCCTAACTTCTGTACCCCCTAAGACAAACCTCACTACAGGCTACAACATTTGACAACCCCCTTCCTTATGGTTGTCACTAGTTCATAATGGGAATAAGATGTCTTTTCAAGTGCTTCACTAGCAAGACAAGCTTGATACCAATGCAACCTATTCACGGTTTGCATTTCAGAGATTTAGGGGGCAACAAGGGGTGAAAGGATTGACATGCCTCCCATTGAACAGTAGGGGTTGCTGCACGGGCCACCGTGCAGCCCCTGCGCTCGAGCCGTGCATGTGTCAGGGTGTCGAGGTGGGATGGCACGCTGACGAGCCACAACGCAAACCTCAATGCTGGAATGTGGTAACGTGCGATTTTGACCAATGAGAAGGCCACAAACTGATTCCCCTATGTGATGTGGCTACATCGCAGAAGTCGCACATGTGCTGCCCAAACAACAGGGAAAAAGAATGTCAAGCATCCTCATCAATGAGGCATTCGATTACGTACACCTTTAAAAATTATATCAATTTAATAAGACCCGGGTACTAAACAATCTTGTGCCGTTGACAAGACCCCCCCCTATTTTTTAATGAATTTTACATAAGACCCTAGGGTCTACTATCCGGGAGATTACGGTATAAACATATTTCAAAAAAACGGATTAAAACAGTAACGACTTCCCGTTTTGAAGCGAGTCCACATCCACTTCTACTCTGTTTGACTCCCTCGAGGGCGGGCTCGCTCAAGAAAAGCGCAACAGCGCGAAGTTGACCTGACAGGGGGGCTCGGGAACACCTGTTGTCTGTGCGCTGCGAGCGAGCGACTGCAGGCTATTGGTCGTACACTGGGGCAAGCCTGTGCGATGCGAACGAGCGACTGCAAGCTATTGGTTCGTACACCCTGATGGGGCGAGCATGACACATTCCTATGCGAAAGTGACGTGTCCTTGCCCTTGTGCGCCAGCAGAGAATCGCCCTCGCGAGATTCTGATTCAGAATGCTCCACACATTTCGATTTGAATGAAATTGCAAGACTCTAATGCACAGTTTGGTGCGTTTATAACACATTTCTGTGTTTGTTATTATATAAGCGCATGCGCTTATAATTTTGACTCATTTATAAGCGCACCCCCCTAAAAAACACTGTTTTATTATAAGCGCAGATGCGTTTCTATCCGGGGTATTACGGTACCTCGTGTTATAAACCAGTGGAAGTGGTAGTAGCGACACAATCGCAATGGCAGATGAGGATGTTTTCTTGATAGGAGGATAGGAATATGCCCTTATTGTAAATAACCTAGTGTCAAAGTTGAGTTTATTTATTGTAACCTATTACCATATAAGCACACAACACAACCAATCTAATCGGTTAGGGAATTTACACCCTTCTACACCGGACAAGTATCCTTGACATCTGCAGAGGATATACCAGATTCATCACCAACCAAGCCAGCACCATCAGAGCCCTCCTCTGGCTCAAGCTTCTTGTCCCAGGCGAAACACAGCACTGTAGTGGCAACCCCTGTTGTGAGGACGGAGGCGAGTGCTACAACGGATAGAAGAGAAACCACAAAAACAATTAATAATGCTTCCATGAGGACAGCTAGACCCCCTAGCTGCATAGGACTATTTCCCAGTGGAAACAACGCCCCTTGAACAAAGACCTGCATATGGATAGAGGCGATAAGGAATCCATGTCAGAAGAACACGCCTGTTGCAAATGTTCTTTATACGAGGAAAGTCAACATGCAGGATGGCCTGTGGAGAATCGTGCACAAACACAGAAGAAGCATGTAGGGACAGAGCATACTCACCCCAATTAGCCCGACGATGTTGTAAATGATGACAATGGGAACCACCAGCATGGTAAGCAGGGCCAGTCCAGCAGCATTGGCCATGACAATGGGCGCGAGGAAGCGCTGCAGGATGTCGAGAGAGAGGCGCAGAGAGCGGGTGAAGCCATGGCCGCTCATGGCAGCGGTGGGGAGGACGAGGCAGGTGAGGAAGAAGCGGATGACAATCTGTGTGCAGTGAAGCAGAGCCACCAGCAGGCAGCCCAGGCTGCTCTCGCCCAAGAGAGCGAGGAAGAGGGAGGAGAGGAGGAGTTTGACAGCGGTGGCGGCACAGGAGGTGATGGCAACGGCACAGCAGGTGCCCAGGGATGAGGTGCAAGCCAGGGAGAAGGCTAAGGAGAAGAGCTCTAGCTGGCCTCTCAGTGTTACGCCCTCTTCACCTTCACCCGCCTTCCTGCCCTCGCTGCTACTTCTGCTGCTGCCGCCGCTGGTCGTGACGTACAGCCGGGCGAAAACAGCTGCTGTGGAGTAGGTGAGGAGAGCTGAGAGCACTTGGACAACGAAGAGAGAGGTGGGTAGCAGGAGGACGAAGAGGATGTCACTAGTATCACCCTCAAGGCTATACATCAAAGGGAGGCCCAGGAACAAAGCTGCAAGCATGATGGGGAGTGGCATGAAGAAGATGACTTGGGCCTGGACGATGGCCGTATGAGCAGCGTGCGCAACGGCAGAGGCGGCGAGAGGGAGGTGGTGGTTGCAGCGTAGCACGAGGAGCATGGCGACGACGCTGAGCAGCCCCAAGACGACGAATGCGATGAAGTAGAGAGGACGGGTTATGAGATCTGCGTAATACAGCGCCACGTCTCGCCGATTCTCGCCTTGCAAGGACCGCCCACGCGCTCTCTTCCCCGCGTCTGACGCGTGGCTTTGGAGATGCTGGTGGGCGGCGGAGTGGGCGGCGCGCGCCCAGTGGGCGACGTGCTGTGCGGTAACGGTTACCACGGGGTGTGCGACAGCGGGCAGTGTGAGCTCCAGGAGGCCCCTGCCGAGGTCGCTCGTGGCTGCAGCGCTGCTGCTGCTGCTGCTGCTGCTGCCGCTAGGAGCTGCCGCTGCCGCTGCCGTTGCCGCTGCCGCTGCCGCTACCTCGGCTGCCGCATCATCAGCGATGCTCACCGCCGCTTCAGATGGGTCCTCCTGCACATCTACGTAATCCCCCATCGCCCCCTCCGTTCCCCCTTCCGTTACCCCTTCCGAACCCCCTTCCGTACCCCCTTCCGTTCTCCCTTCCGTTCCCCCTTCTGAGGCTTCAATAGCCGGTTCTATCATTTCGTCTGTAGTCTTCTCGCTCTCCCCCTCCGCGCTTTCCGCAACGTCCGTGTTCACGGAAAAGTCACTCGACGAGCCATCGCGGACTGGCGCGTATACCACCGGGGCTACGTCCGCCGCATTTGGCGGCACGAGCGCGGGCGTCGTGTAGTAATGCACGGCGGAGGTGGCGCTTTGCAGGGCACAGATCACGGCGGCGAAAATTAAGAGCGCGCTCAAGACGCGAGCGGGGATTTTGCGGAGAGAAGAGACGATCAACATGGGGAGGGGAAGGCTGAACGCGAAGAGGAGAATCAAGGCAACCGGGTAGAGGGAGGGAGAAATCAGGAGGGGGCCTGAGGATTCGTAAAGCGAGTAGACGAAAGCGTGGAGGGCCGCAACGAAAAGGACGACGAGCGGCACGGCGAAGACGAACATCCATTCCGCGTCGCGCACGGGGCGCTCGTTGAAATTGAAAATGGCGGAAGATTTGTCAAAATCGTTCCAGCCGCCAGCCGTCGAATCGTCGAAGCTCTGATGAGGAATTTTCGCCGCAGATTTTCGAGCTTCAGCCTTCTTTTCCTGCGGTTTGGACTTCAGCGGATGGGAATCGACGGCGTGCGACAGGAGGTGCTCGGATACTGTGACCTTGATATCGCCGTCTTGCGCCCATTGCTCCGCGTGCTGGTGTTTTTCCGCGTTCTCGGCGGGCGGAGCGTGCTCGAAGAGAGAGGGGGGGGAGTACGCGCCTTCGGTCTCGGAAGTCGTACTCGTCAATGGTATATTCTCACCCATTCCTGGTCTGTATCTCAATGGCTGACAATGCGAGCACCGATGAGGCTAGTTGTAGTGAGGTCTAATGCAGCTATAGCGATTCAAATAAGCGACTGTTAGTGACCGCGAGGTGGAGTTGAGTAGTGGGGGCTATGGTGGCTCGTGTTATGGAACTACTGCGAGTGAGAGTAGCAGGGGACTAGCAGTAGTTAATAACATGCGCAAGGGTAGTGTGGGAAGCGAGGGAGGGAAGAGAAGGCGTGGGAAGGAGAGAGAACAGGTGGGTGCAAGGAAACGGACGGAGAGAAAGACGGGGTTGGGTGTGGTGGGCGTGGTTAGGTCGAACCAGAGGTGGTTGGTGGGCGAATTTTGCGATTTTCCAAAGCTGACGGGGATGCATTTCGCCAAGCTGGCTAGCAACGTGGATCTCCCTCGCCTCTCTACTGGCTGGGAGCTTGGCATGACTGCGCTGATGCTCTCTGGACAAAGTACTTGTACACCCAGTATGGAGCTGACGACGACCTGATTCACGTGAACACGCAACAACGAGGGTTTAATGACTCCTGTTGACCTGGAAGAACGGCATAAATCAAGCAGCTCCAATTCTTATCCAAAGAAATCATACAGTACAGTAAACTAGTTATAGCTGTTAGCCTTTTAAACCTTGTGGCTCATTAATTAACCCCATAATTCACGTGAGCTGTATTATAGGCCTTCATAAGTAATAGAAATCTCCCTAATTATGAGCATACCACCAACCACGATCCTCACGGTGGAAACACACAATTTTCTTAACGTGCATACCAAATGCAAATGAAAAAAATCACAGCCTCAGTGATAGATGATTCATTTTGCAGCCTCAACTAAGTGCAGCTTCAGCTGCCGCTCAATAAATCCCACAATCTGAATTCTATTGCAGTAATCCAAGTCTTGTAACATGCTGGAAGCAGCTCAATTCATTTTCTCGCAAAAGCTCCTTTGGTTATTGTTGACTTCTTTCTGCCAGCTTGCTTTCACTCCTGACCGTGTTTATTGCTGGTGCGTATCCCACTATTTTAATTTCTGAGAACCTCCGTGAATTGGCAAATATCTGTGCCTCAGTTACGACTGCTGATGTATTGTGCACTTTTTATAGTGTATCTTTCATAGAAAAAATAAAAAAAAAAATCTGTGCCTATCTTGCACTTGTTGGCGTGGGTGCTCACAATGAAGCCACGGCTGCAGCATTTTCTTGCCAGGTCTAATGGAATCAGTATCGATTAACCCACCTGGGAACGGGCAGCGAATAGTTTGGATGGCAGAACTACAGCAGTTCCCACGAAGCATCTCGACACAAACCCTGCATTACACAACCGTCGATGTTCCGTAAAAGAATTGCAGCCGTTCCTTGCGACTGCTCGCCAGCTCACCGCTGATTAGTGGCGATTTGCTGAGAGGATTCGCTGACTTCCCATCACATTCTCCATCACGTGCTACACCGTCACGAAATCGCATCACAGCGGCAGCAGAGCGGACATGCTCCGCCAGTGGCATGTCTCTAGGGAACAGAACGAAACCCTTGATATCTCCTCCGCAACGACAAACCCAGCAAGCATCCAGCCAGCCCCTCACCGAATTTCCTGATTTTCTCGAAACCCCTTCGGCCACCTTCAGCCACCTCATCCTGCCAGCGCCAGCTACCTGTGCCCGTGTGTGGGCCTCTGTGGCACTACGCTAACCTGGTCTACCTCTGCGGCTGTGGCTGACTGAGAGACCCTCTTCTCCCTTGGCCGATTCTCTCTGGCGAAATCAGTAAACCCCACTTCGCTTGTCGATTTCCTTACTACTTATTTAGGTGCTAGAGCTTACTTGTAGTTGTTATCAGCTTAGTCAATTTTCCAGTCGTGTCTAACCAGTAACTTTTCATCAAGTTAGTGGCTGTACTTAAGATTTGCTTTTCGCAGGCCTAGTCGGCGTTGAGATAGCTTCATTCATTACATTCTCCCCTCATCCCCTTTAGAAACAGATAGCAATCATGTTTCGGTTCCTCGCTAAAGACCGCTCACAAAGGCAGCGCCTAGAGCTGCAGAAGGCGATGGCAACCTACGCTTCGCCAGAGGAGTCCGAGGCACCTGCTCCGATGGAAGAAGACAGTCCGTCACCAGCCGCTACGCCGCGACGGAAGTCCGTTCAGTTGGAGGAGCTTGAACGGCCGTCTCACCGCCGAAGCTCTGCTGCGGGGAGACAGTCCACGGTTAAAGAGGAACAAGCTGGCTCGTCCGGCAATGATTATGCAGCCATGTACGCGCCTCACGACGACCCATCACTCCGACGAAGCTCGCTGGATTGCGTCCGCTCTGCGCGTCGTTCCGGCGCTTCCCTGCCTCGTGCCAACGGTCCGTTTGGTGCTGCGTGTGAGAGCAGCGTTCAGGCTCAGCCAGACGCGGCTTACAGCCAACAGCGAAGTTCCGATAGCGAGGATGAAGTGAGCAGCGGGCCCGGCGGAGGGATTCAGTCCCGGTCGTTGAGACGGTACCAGCAGAGCAAGTTAGGGCAACATGAGCCGCGGAGCAACCCGTTTGATTACGAGATGGAGGATACGCAAGTAGTCCCCGGACAAGGCGACATCGCCAGAAGGAATGCCCATTATTATGCGGGTGGTTGCGGTCGTACGGCCGCTGCCGAAGGGCCGTCAGCGAAAGTTGATAACCGGTTCTGTGACATGTCTGGGTGGGGAGTAATGGATCAAGCGCTGCATCCGGCAGGGTTGATGCAGGCCCGTGCTGCCATGGTGGCGCAAGGTCGCTCGAATATTAACCGGGGAAATACCTTTCCGGATATGACGTGACCTGGTTCAGTGGCCACTGTGTTCGTGTGTTGTGGATTTGGTGCCGGTAAGCTCAGGGGGAGTGTTGAGCCTTGGCAGCCTGTTAGGTTTTTCCCCCCCCCCCCCTTTCTGTGGGCTTAACTTAGCATTTGATATACCTATGATATGCTACCTGTAAATGAGCTGTGAACTCTAAATGTTGTCTGCCAAAAATACGTTACATTTTAGCAAGGACCCGTAATGCAGATTTGTGAGATAAGTTGACAGATGTTCCACTTCCAAAGAAAATGGATCGTTCTCGTGCGATTGTTTCCTGCTCCTCCGCCAAGAGCAAGGAGCGCAAATGATAAAGAGATTCCGCTTTAATACAAACACTCTCCGATTCCCAAATGCGTATGACGATGTCTCAGCGCCACCCTCAGTTTCTCCACGTGATTCAGTAGTAGCGCACGACGTCCGTAGCAGCAGCATACATCGTGAAGTTCATAAGTGCTCGCTCCTGAGGTCTCAAGCCAGTTAGGGGACGCTATAATCTGACTTGGATCAGTTTCGGTTACTCTTAGAATCGCTCGTAGATTAGTTTGGTCGCCTCTTCATAGGGTGCATAGAAATATATCGTAGCTGCAGTGTGGTGGCGAGACGGCCATCGAATTACCGGGATTGCCATTCTTGAGCACCCGTTTAGGACCAGATTTGCACATTCGACTCAGTGCGCTCTTCCCCGCACGCTGGTTTAAAGCGATTCCGTGGTTCTCGTTGCAACGGCGAACAGTTTAGCGACACGAACGCGCTGTGTGCTGGGAGCAGCGGTATCTTGTAACGAACGCGGTGCTTTTCCCGCCCGCGGTTCCCGGCGCGGGGCGGAACGGAACGAGGGCGGGCATTGCTCAAGGGAGGTGATAAGCGCGAAGGGAGCGGAGGCAGCTCGGGAAGCAAGGCGGGAAAGACAGGTTGGTGACGGGGACCGGAGCGGAGGAACGGGTTAACGGAGCGAGTTGAGGGGGAGAGAGGAGCACGGGGAAGAATATTTGGTAGAAGGTACGCAAATGCCGCGCGCGAGAGAGCAGGGGAAAGTTTCGGCAGGACGGCAGTGGGAGGAGAATGGGAGAGAGGCGGGAGGGGGAGGGAGAAAAGGGAGGGGAGCCATGCGTGCTGTAGACGTAGGTTCGGGGGGAAGAGAGAGGGGGGTGGGCAGAGAGGTAGCGGGTGGGAGAAAAGCGGCGGGGGGAACAGAAACGCGGGGGGGAAGAGATGCGTTTGGGGGAAAAGCCGTAGGCGGAAGGCGGAAGCGAGGGATCTCAGGAGAAGAGGAGGCGGTTGAGGGGAAGAGGAGGGCGAAGAGCCGCAGGAAACAGGGGGGGGAGTGGCCGCGCTTTGTGGCGCGAAAGCCTTGCTCCGATGCGCTGAGGCGCGCGCGGAGTGCGTGGATGAAGAGGAGATGGCAAGAGCTGAGGGCGCTGCAGGCGCAGCAGGTGGCGGAGGCGGAGGGCATGGGGGGAAAGGGGCAGGAGATGGAAAGGCGGAGGGTGACGCGAGGGGAAGGCAAGAGGCGGAGGGAGGAAGGGGATGAAGGTAGTGGTAGGGGGTTGAGTGTGAGCAGGGGAGTAGCGAGGGGCAGGGGAGTGGAGAGTGGCAGGGGAGTGGAGAGCTATAGGGGAGTAGAGAGAGGAACAGGACGGAGGGGGATGAGGAGGCAAGAGGAGGAATGGGAGTGGAGTGAGGAAGGGGACGAAGCGGATTGGAGTAGTGGGGAATATGTTAGCGGGTCTTCTGATACTTATGATACTGATGATACTGATGATACTGATGGTACTGATGATACTGATGATGACGAGGAAGAGGAGGAACAGGATGAGGGAGAGGATGAGGGAGAGTATGCGGGAGTGGATGAGGGAGAGGATGAGGGAGAGGATGAGGATGAAGTAGAAGAGATGAGGATGGTCGAATCAGAGGAGGGGAATGAACCGGAAGAGGGGAGTGAATCGGAGGAAGACGGGGAGGAAGAGGAGGAGGAGAATGAGGAGGACGGTGTTTGGGAGGTCAGGAAAAGAAGTGATGCAAATGAGGAGTGCAGTGAGGAGGGGAGTGAGGAGAGGAGTGAGGAAGAGGAAGCGGAGGAAGAGGAGGCGGAGGAAGAGGGGGAGGAAGAGGAGGCGGAGGAAGAGGAAGGGGAGGAAGAAGAGGAAGAAGAGGAAGAAGAGGAAGAAGAGGAAGAGGAAGGGGAGGAAGAGGAGGGAAGGGGGGAGGAGGAGGATGATGACCTTGCAATGCCATCCTCACCCGCTACCACCGTCCCTGCTCCAAGGACTCCCAGCATCACTCCCCGTACTCATCCTCGCGTTTCTGGTATGTGCTCCTTCCCATGTCCCGTCCTTTGCTTCCTAGGGCACTCAACCCGTTCTGATGCTCCCCCTTGCTCGTTTTTTCTCACCCCCCAGGCCGCCCCACCTCTTGCGCCATTGGCCCACTCCTTTTTGATAGAATGTGGCAGTCATCCATGCGCCTATTCGTGTTTTCCTGCCAGGGAATGCATGCGGACAGCGGCGCCATGCAGATGTGTCTGAAGCTTCTCATCAAGGGGCAGGCTTGGGGGGGGATGAAAATGGCGGAGTGCGAAAGAAGGCTAAATGGTCCCGTTGGTCGGGGTTCACACGGGAAGAAACGTTTGAAGTGCGGAGAGCTGCTGCCAATGGGTTGGTGGATGTGATGGCTTCTGGAATGGCTGCCGTTTGCCACCTGGAAGAGTTTGTCGCGGTTTCTGCAATCCATGTGACTGGAGTGGTGTCAGTGGAAGAATTGGAGCAACGCCTGAAGGGGGAAGTGGAACGAATTGTTGAGAAGCAAAGGCGGAGCAGTCAGAAATTGGCAAAGGATTTGGAAGGGGCATATGCAGAGTGTGCTGCGATTCTCAAGGAGACACTAGAGAAGGTTGAGAAAGGGTGAAGGATAATGCACTTTCTTGTGACTCAGCTTTGTGTAGTTGCCTTGGTGAAAGCTGGTTTCGGCCATTATCTCCGATACTCAAAATTTGCCTGAGCCCGTTCTCAGGTGTAATCACCAACAGAAACACGGTTTCGCGATATAGTGGGGAGATTTGTTCGCTATTTTTTTTATACAGTCACTAAAAAAAATCCAGCGCTTGCAAAACAAATATATATAAAACCCGTAGCGAACCTAGATGATTTCCGGGAAGGATCAACCCTAAATACCGAAAGCCGCCCAATATTTTGGAAAACATATTGTTACAATCCCAAGTGGGACTTAGCAAAGGATCATTCAAGGTTGATCGCAGAGTAGTGTTGCAGCGGGAGTTTGAATCTCAAGTCAGAGTGAATGTAAATGACTGAGTTGATAATAACATGCATACATCGAGTTTATATAATAATACAGGGGAATACGAAAAGACCTAGACTAGCCATGTACTTTGAGGGGTACATTCCCTTATTACAGCAATTTCAAACCGTGCGGCGCGGGAACCCGTTTTGAACCTGTTCCTGTTAAAATGAGCTCGAGGTTACTAAGTTTTAACTAGGGCCTAGGCTTAGTAGCCTAGGCCCAACTAGGATGTCGAGTGAGTTGGGCCAAGGGTGAGAGGGTCGAGAAAGTTGGAAAGTGAGGTTTCACTATAGGTTCAAGGAACATATAGCATAGGAAACAAAAGGGTGCACCACCTAACAAAGTTTACAATAACTACACTAACTACAGCTACAGGCAGTTACTGTGATAGTAGGAAAACAGGAATGAATGAACTATGAATGAAAGCAGTACAAATATGAAACCCTAACTGGGTTGTACCCCCTATGGGATACCCCACTACAGCCTACACAGCAGTATGAGCTATAGATATGTTCTGACACACCCCCATAGGCAAAGTGGGGGAGAACAAGGGGTCACAAGACCAGTCAAGCAAGACAAAGCAAAGCTCAGGGTGGATCACAAAGTCACCACACAGTCCGAGCACAAGAGTGAGGCCAAAGGCCAGTTCACAAGCAAGAGTACAGACATATATATAAAGCTAGACAAGCAAGAGCAGGTATATAGATATATGTCACAGTACAAGTGAAGTCAAGAGGAGAGCAAGTGAGGCAAGACAGGCACAAGACCCAGCTGGGTGCAGAAGCGCTGATGGTCACAAGGCGCAAGTGCCTTGGTGAACACATCAGCAGTGTTGGCCTCAGAGGCCACGTACGCAAGTCGCAACTGACCACGCTGCTGCAGCTCACGAGCAAGGAAGTAGCGGAGAGCAATGTGCTTCGTTCTGTGCTCCAAGCGCTGCTCTCGACACAAGGCCAGCATAGCCTTGTTGTCTACGTACAGCACTGGAGGAGAACGAGGCGGCTCTCCAAGGTCAGTCAGCAGGTAGGTGAGCCAGCGAAGCTCCTGTGCAGCCATGGCCCCGGCGTAGATCTCAGCCTCACAACTGGAGCCGAGAACCGAAGACGAGCGAGTAGACCGCCACGAGACAGAGCCGGAACCAAGGCTGAAGGTGTAACCCTGTGACGACCGCTGCGTAGCCTGGTCGTCAGCCCAAGACGCGTCCGCGTGGCCGGTAAGGACCACTGGACTCCGCCCTCCAAGCACTAGCCCCATGCCTGACGTACTGCACAGGTAGCGCAATACCCTCTTCGCTGCAGCCATGTGCTCCGGTCTGTGTCTCCCAGGAGCAACATAGCGTGCAAGAATGCTCAGAGGGTATGCAAGGTCAGGTCGTGTGCAGGTCATCAGGTACATGAGGCAGCCAACAAGCTCCGCATACGGACCACTCGACTCTACGGACTCATCCGAAGGCAGAGCTGAGAGTGAGTGGCGAGTAGGCAGAGGAGTGGCCTGAGGCGAGGAGTACGTGAAGCCGAAGCGCTGAAGGACCTGCTGCACCATGTGTGACTGAGTCAAGGTAATGGTGCGGCGTGCTCTGTTCCGAGTGATCTGCAAGCCAAGGTAGCTGCGCAGTTCACCCAGGTCTGTGCACGTGTGTCTCTTCAACAGCTCGGACTTCACGTAGGCGAGTCCAGCAGTGTCCGCTGTGGCAAAGACCAGGTCGTCGACGTACACGAGGATGTAGAACGGCGGCAGGGAAGTGTCGGTGCGAAGAAACAGCGACGGGTCAGCAGTAGAAGGAGCAAACCCAAGAGCCGCAAGCGTAGTCCTCAGTGTGTCGTGCCACTCACGCGGTGCCTGGCGGAGACCGTAGACTGGCCGTCGGAGGCTCCACTGGGTGCCAGGAGGGAAAGTCCCAGTGAAGCCAGGTGGACGGCGAAGCCAGATCTCCTCGTGCAGGCTACCCTGCAAGAACGCAGTGCTGAAGTCGAGAGAGTGAAGCTCGTAGTCGCGCTGAGCGGCTATGTGCAGCAGCACCCGAAGAGTAGTCATCTTCGGGGTGGGAGAGAAGGTCTGAAAGTAGTCAACTCCCTGCCGCTGACTGAAGCCACGAGCAACGTACCGTGCCTTGAAGACAGGTGGAGAGCCCGGCGGCCGCTTCACCCTGAAGATCCACATGCCACTGACGATGTTCGCCCCAGGAGGGGGAACCGCGTCAACGTAGGTGCCTGTGGACTTCCAGGAAGCCATCTCTGCATCCATAGCTGCCTGCCACTGAGAGGAGTAGGGACCCTCTACGGCCTCCGCGTAAGAACGCGGAGTCGGGATGTCTAGTGCATCCGGGTCTCCCTCAGGGGCAAGCAGTACAGACGCGAGATGAGGTGAAGCAGCCGCTAGACACTGTAACTCCTCCTGCCTGTCCTCTAGGACGTCCGTGCCAAGAGCACACTCACCCCCGACGGACGGAGGACAGACAGACGCAGACTCAGCAACAAGACTAGCAGCGTAGTCGAGACGACAGCGAGCAGCAAAGTCGACGAGCTCAGCGACTAGAGCAGACGCAGCAGTGGACTCAAAAGAGGGGTCAGTGACGACAGTAGCAAGCAGACGCGTGACAGTGGGACTGGCAGCACGAAGAGAGTCCGACTCAGGGTCCGCAAGCGCAGGAAGAGAGGACTCAGGAGGAGAAGGCAAAGGGGCACGCAGGGGAGCAGTGGACGGACGTAAAGACATCCGGTGCGTGCCAGGGACAGGAGGAGGACGCTGACGCGAGCTGCGACCACTAGCGCGAGCAGCACGAACAGGCGACGCGGGACGAGACGCAGGCTCACGACGCTCAGCAAGACCTCCAGTAGGACCAGAGTAAGGAGAGGGAGCAGGCAGCGGAGAGGAAGGCTCCAGTAGGGGCTGCGACTGGACAGGCGGTGGACCCTCTACTGGAGGAGAAAGACCAAGAACCTGCTGAAGGAGCGGAACGAAGTACGGCCGAGGCCGCGCGGCAGCTCCAGACTCAGCAGGGACAGCACCAGCACCCTCAGCGACAGTACCAGCGCCACCCACACCTCCAGCGGCAGGACCAACAGCAGCAGGCTCAGCACGAACGCCCTCAGCAGCTCCAGCTCCAGGAGGACCTGCAGGGCCAGCAGCTCCGGGACCGGCTGCACCCGCACCCTCGACGGTCGAAGAAGCTCCAGCTCCAGCTCCAGCAGCACCTCCAGACTCAGCAGCACGCCTCCAGCGGCGAGCGAACCACTCGCGCAGCTCCTGTGGAGAGAGGGGCTCCCGGCGAGACGCAGCAGCAGGAGAAACCCCAGGCTCAGCAGCTCCAGACGCAGCACCCCCAGGCTCAGCAGCTCCCGACCCAGCACCCCCAGACCCAGCACCTCCAGGCACAGCACCCCCCGGCTCAGCACCCCCAGGCTCCGCACCCTCCGCAGTAGCACCCTCAGGCCCAGCACCCCCAGCAGTAGCACCCCCAGGCTCAGCACCCCCGCGCACAGCACCCCCAGAGGCAGCACCCCCAGGCTCAGCACCCGCAGCAGCACCAGAGTCACCAGTAACCTCGACCGGGTCAACGGCGTCTACCTGGGACACACCTGAGGGGGCAGGAACCTGAGGGGGGAGGGGGTCTACCGGGGGGGGAACCGGCACAAGGAAGTCCGGGGGAGGGGGGAGGGAAGGAGTGCGGTAGGGGAAGAGACGGTAGAAGGGGACTGACTCGTCGAACGTGACGTCCTGGGAGGACAGAACACGACGAGAGGAGGGGTGGTAAAACTGCCACCCTGGGGCGTCAGTGGGGAAGCCAAGGAAGACACAGGGAGCAGCACGAGGGGACAGCTTGTCCGCAGACAAGTCGCGGACAAACGCCCGAGATCCCCAGACACGGAACACAGACGCATCGCCAACCTTCCCCGTCCACAGCAAGGCTGGGGACATCGCTGGCCGAGAGACCCGGGGGTGAAGGTTGAGCTGATGCGCCGCGTACCTCACCGCAAACGGCCACAGAAAATGGGGGGCAGCCGCATGCATCATGGACGTACGAGCGACATCCATGACCATGCCAATGCGGCGCTCAGCAATCCCATTTTGCTGTGGTGAGTCCGGAAGCGTGAAGGTCTGGCGGATCCCCCGTGCACGACAGTAGTCTCGCAGAAGGCGAGAAGAGAACTCTCCGCCTCTGTCAGAGTGCAGACGCAGAACAGGAAAGTCCGAGCCGAAGCTCTTCCTGAGCTGGAGACGAGCCTCGCGGATCCAGTCGATCAGCACCTCAGTGACCGCACCCTTGCTGCGCAAGGGGAGGACTGTGGTGTAACGCGAGTAGTCGTCAACCACCAACAGGAAGTAGCGCTCGTAACCCTGCCCACGGACGGGGGCTGGGCCCCACACATCCATGTGAAGCGTCTGCAGGGGAGCCTCTGTCGGGGGGAAGTGGGAGGAGTGAGGAGTAGCCCGGAGGCGACCCTCGACACAGGGGACACAGGAAGGTCCTGGCCCGGAGGGGAGAGGAGGGAGAGACTGGGGAAGACCAGAGACAAGGACACGGGAAGCCATGCTCCGAAGACGGGGCAAGGAGGGGTGGCCAAGACGGTGGTGCCACAGGAGAGTCTCGTGAGACAGGAGGCGAC